AAATATATGTTTATCAAATAAAGTCTAATGTTACAACTAATCATGGATCCCTTTAAATGTAAAAGTGCAAAAAAAAAACTAACACACATAGTAAATAGAAATACCACCTAAAAAATGTAAATGAAAATTTAAACAAAATATAGAACAATAATAAATCACAACATTTTATTTAAGTAGTTTTAAATAACTTTTAAACTCTTTCACACAACACCTGTTTAAGTGTTGTTCCCATGTGTCCGACACAAAACTGTTCTCTGTAAAACAGATCTGCCATTCGTTCATCACAAACTACTAAAAACAACTGTTCACTCACAGCTTTCTTGCAAACATAATAAAAATAAGAGTTCCTTTAATTTTTGCAACATATAAAACAAAAATAAAAAATGCTTAAGTTTATGAAAACAACTTATGAGAATCAACACAAATATGTTCAGACTCAGTTTTACCTTAGAGCATTCTGTTTGAGGCAGATTTATTTACATTTACAAATACAGAAAATAAGTGTTTTTATTTAATCTGTCAGTAAAAGTGATCGTTCCATTAGATCAAAGAGTTTATTGATCACATCAACATGGATGCAGCACATAAATCAGGTTTTACAGCAGAGCCAGCAGCACTTATGTGGTCCGTGACAAACACAAAGCTCAACACTTAACACCAGGCGTACGACTAAAAGCTTGTAAAAGTGCCTTTTCGCATGCAAAGATTTAATTGTTTTCAATGACATTTGCTTCTTTTATTCCGGTAAATGCTTTTAAAAGATCAATCAATAGTGGAGGAGCGAAACGCCCTGAAGAGATTTTCAGGGTCAAACTAAAGAATAAATCAAACACAAAGCTGAGGCTCGCGTTGATCCCAGATTTTAAGCAGMAAAATATCAAACATTCCTTTTTTAATAGAAAAACTTCAAAACAATAAAGAAATATTATTTTATTTATCAGACAGTTTTAACTTTATTCAGAAATACTGGGGGAAAAACCACATGCATTACCTGCACTGAGAGCTATTCCAGTTCCTCTGTGTGTGATGGACATCATCATGGGGACAGACCATCTGAAACACAAAGACCACCACACAGTTTTACAATATAGAAATGTCCAACTAAAATACACACTGAGCTCAAAGTTCAGTCAGCCTTCACTGAGGTCTACGTGAACTTTTAAATAAATGTTTTTATCTTGGATAAAACTGGGGCGATTTGTGTCGCTGTGAAACTTTTCCCGTTTATACTGCAGAACAAAACTGAATCCTGTAAAATGATTAAATCGTTACGTAATAAGTGAATTAAAAAAAAAACAGACAAAATAAAACTTCAATATCAGACTTGGTGAAAACAACCAATTAAATATATATATATTTCTGGGCCTTCAATAAGCCAAATGCACGACAACAGATCATGGAAAATTGTTGAGTAAAAGCTGACTGAATGAGAAAACTGTCTTAAAATTTCACAACAACAACAACAAAAAAAATCACTGATGACCAGGCCTGTCACGATAACAAATTTTACTGGGTGATTAATTGTCTCATAAATTATTGCAATAAACGATAATATTGCCTGGTGACCGTTTTACAACTAATAATTATAAAAGCGTAATAAGTAAGTGTAATAAATCAATAAACTTTAATTTTTAAAAGAATGTTTAACAAAGTGGACTCTCAGTCTAACAAAAATGCACTTGAATAAAAAAAACCAAAGAACAACAAAATGTAAATTAAACACCACACACAACTAAGACAGTAAATAAACAATATTAAAGATCAGCATCTCTTTAGAGATGAAGCAAACTACACAGCCTGGTGAGGAC